ACTAGGCCCTTTTACTCTTCACTGCAAAGGATTGACTAGAAGGACGAAATAAAATTTTATGAAGCTTAGTGCACTTATCAGTAGTCAAAAGATATTCTAACAATTTATTTCAAAGACGAAACAAAAGTGACGAAATCAAAGTGACTTATTTTGCTGAGGGCTACTTCGTTCCATTTTCAAGGCATTGGAACAGTATCACATCACTTTATTGACCAGGTCTAATATCCACCATCGCCACTATGAGTTATTGTTAGGAGGGATGACATTTTGATGCTGCCTTGCTCAAAAGCTGTCCTAGTTGTTTTCATGTTAATTGTTTACTTGCGAGACTAAGTGAAGTATAACGCATGGCACGATAGAATCGTCATTATCCCCTAGTCTCCTGATCCCCTCACTCTTTCTGTAAATATAGCCACCTATTTCAATGAAAGGCAAAATCAATCAGTCACCAACCTTGTGTTGCGATAACTTAGTCTGGATGGATTGAGTGAGATAAAAGTACGAGAAGTGGGCATAGGAGAGAGATAAAGTTGGGTAGATAGAGCTCTGTGGCACTTCCTGAAAAAATGGTCAACCCTCTAGCTAACTGGGGAGATGTGTTTGTTTGCTCGATGGTGTTGCTAGTTTTAGGTGCAAAATGCTTTCACAAGCACCGAAAACAGGGCACTCAAGGGGCCTGTCCGCCTATTGATTTCAGTGGTACAGCCATGGACAAGCAAGTAATGGCTCGCCAATTCATTTCACTACTTTAAATGGGGAATCCTTTTGTCAAAAGCAGTTAAATCACAGTCTTCAAGGAGGTACTATAGCTTTTTTACTGTTCCCATGTTCTTCCATGGCGTAATGGCTTTCTACAGCGCAACGTCTGGGTGAAAAGATTTCGCAGCATACGGAGAGAAAGCAGTTTTCAAATATCACCGTTAAGTAGGATTGAGGAGAAAAGAAGGCGTGTTGAATTGGGGTATAAAGGCATTAGAGGAGAGTTTGCGATGAGTGAGGTATGACAGATGAGGACAGTTAAAGAATGCGTGAATTTTTGGTTGGCTCGTTGTCACTGATACTGCTGATGGTGTTGACGTCCATGTGGAGGATGGAATCATTCCGTTCTATCAAGGTCAAGTCAGCGCATTTGAACTGCAGGAATCAATCCTTTCCTAATCTCCACTCCCGAAAGTTGACAATCAAACGCATCACTGCTCCGAATTTATAGCTTCCGCTTGACCACTTACTAGCTTGCGCACTCATTTAGCCAATAAACACACCCTTCACTGTCATCCATAGACGCTCTGATGCCATTCGCCAATAAAGACACGTATTTGCTCCACGACAACTTTTTGCAAATAAATGGCAGTTACTACTTGTGTGATTATGTATAACAAGGCAAAGAAAGTCGTCAGAATGTGGAGGGCATTGGTGGAGGCTAAATCCAAGAAATCGCTATTTCTACAAAACTATTCAACTAAGAAAACAGTTTAACATTCTGGGCGGAGTGCAGACAAGTGGAATATTCCTCATTAAGCACGTCACCTGATGGTACCTCAGATGAATGACAATTAGGACCTACCCTTGTCACAATAGTGCTGCAGTTTTGTCCGTTAACCATTGAACATCCACACACCCTTCACAAGCCTTTTTAATTAGCTGTAGGAGCGCATAATTGGATAGCAAGAGGAGCAACTGCGACATGAGCCTGAAAGACGGGCCAAGAGAAGCATAAGAAAAGGTCGATGCGCGTTCGGATGCCACAGCCTTTGCTTCTGCGTCAGGTCCACGCAATCAGAATGGGGACTGTTGCGGTGATTGCGACCAAGAAAGCTCAACATTGACCTTTTGAGCTTGATGTGAAACAAAACGCGAGTGACAAAAACTGGGTTACCACTGTTTTGAACTGGTTACCAATACTTGTGATCTGCAGATTCTATGTGGTGGTGATGCATGTCTGCATACTAACTAGACCGAAATGCAAACACTCAGAAGGTGAAGGTATGAGAACAGACGACCTGAATGGCTAAGGCGACTGAGTCAAAACACTCGTGTTGTGTGTGTGTGTGCGTATGGGCATCCAGTCTGTCTGATGGAGGTCTCCATGTTGTGAGTCAGTGACTGTCCACAGCATCAAGTGCTAATGATGGGCCAGAGGGTTTCCATGTGCTGTGCATAGTTAAGGCCTTTCTATCATTGATTCAAATCGAGCGGCATTTCACTGCAATGGCAGGATCAGGATTGCCTCACGTGTTGCTTTTGACGGATGCATCTATTGTGCATTTACGCAAGTTGAATATGTTTAAGGATTTCTAGTGCACAGCAAAGTGATAGAAAATTGTGATAGAAATTGCAACTACCAAAGCAGTCCAATTTGTCATTTTTCAACTTTCTCACTATAGCCATAATAAGAAATAAATCTGCAACTGTTTAGTGAAAAAAATAATTTGCGAACAATGTAATATTTCCATGCATTGCGATTAGTATTGTTGAGGGGATTCGTAAAGACAACTGCATCTTACACGGTTGCCATTTCGGAGGATGTTTTACGAGAGTCTCCCTTGACATACATGCTCTCAAATGCTCAATCGCGTTTGACAATCTATTAGCGTTACGGGATTTATTTAGAACCCAAGCTAATGGCAAAATGCTAAGTTAAATCGCGCAAAATGAAAACGTTGCAATGCTGCTCTCGCTTTCCCAATGGACTAAATAGGATGACTAGCTACTTGCCAGGATGTACTTCTCCCATTCACCATCGTGCAAGATTAGACCATTTGGTGGCATTGCCAATTTATTTTAACACCATTTCACGATATCTCATTACTGGACAATTGTGACATCGCTGTACGATGTGTTGTATGTTGGAGGAATTGTGAACAGAAGGTTGGATTGAGGCTGCAATCAATGCAGCTGTGGGAAAAAATGTGTTCAGCAGCAATTCAACAAGGGAATGCCGTGCGACACTGTGGTATTGTGATGGAAGATGGAATGGGGAGAGGTAAAGGACGGGTCCCTCCCATTCTTTTTTAATCTGTCTCACAAAGTCAATTGGAATGCACTCTCCTACGCTATCTACACCTAAAACAGCACCCGTCAGAAGCTGCCAAGACTTCATATTCACGAATTGGAGCATTATGTCTGTGCTCTGCCAGCAGTGCATGTAATGGCACTCACAACAGCAACGTTAGATTACGTGCCCGTTGCCTCGAACAAAATTTCGGAAGTCGGAATGAAGACACAAGCGCTCTAACTAGCCGATGAAAGAATTAATTGTTCTTCCCCCTCCTCCTCCTCCTCCAACAACAACAAAAACTTGCTGGTGAACCATATGGTCATTTCACCATTATTCCTTTGGAACGAGCTGTCTCATTAGATCGGGACAGTTGGTTGGTAAATATTAGGGACGATGTGCGGTGATCAGGATTATGCTTGTTCGGCGTACAATTCATTATTGGAGGTAAATGACACCGGTTCAATCAAAATATTCGTACTCATTAACCACCTCTCACCTCAACTGTGTATTCAAGGAAACACGGTTTGTGCATTATGGCAATCTCCCATTAAGCATGTTAGTTCGATTCGGCAGATGTGTAGAGTGGGAGAGGGGAAACAGTGAACTGCATCTATAAATCAAAGTGACTTCAAATGGAAAAAGCTAGAATTCGTAGTCGCTGTAATGATTTTGCAGCTCATCTTAGTAGGAAGTGAGGGTTTTGACACTTGCACCATCTCCAGCAACAAACTGACCGACTGAGGGGGAACAGAATGAGTGAACAAACGGGCAGATGCAAATGTCAATTATGGAGGCTACTGAAGGAAAGGGAAGGCATAGCAAGATTTAATTTAACCTGCCTACTTTACTGATTTTTGTTTAACAACGCTAAGCATTGTTATGACTCTTTGCATCACGAGTCGTTGTATAATTACTGGCATTGGGATTTCACCTCACTTCCATTCGAACTTTCTGCTGGAACCGTTGAAGTCCTCAATGCAGCTATTTCCACTTGACGGAAGTTGACCATTCGCCTGTGCTGGTTTGGTGGCCACAAATCGGTGAGTTGGGGTAAAGTTATCTCCTTTTATCCCATCGAAGGCCTTGGAAAAACTAGCGGGAGAGGCTTTCACTGATCGAATCGAATGGATAGCTATTCTAAAGGGTGAGTACGTGATGTATGGGTAAGTCGATTCACGTTTGTCGACCTTTAGCCAATCAGTTAAAAACCGTCAAATAAAGGGTCATGGCATGCTAGGCACAAGTTATTCGGACGTGCGCACTTGGAAAAAGGAGTGCTATGCATGTTTATGAAGCACTCACCAACACCCAACAGTTGAGGCCCTACAGAATGCTTTGTCTTTTTTGCCTACTTAAAACTTATTAGTAGTAGAACGACTACGTGAACGTGCGGACTGAGCCATAGAGGACAGCACCTAGACCTGTAGAAAGAGCTAAGGGTAAAAAAACAATTCCAAGAATTAAATTTTCATGCAACTGAGAAGATACGCAACTGCAACCCCAGCACTACATAGAGATTTAGGTCTAATAAGAGGTGGAAAGACTGGTCCCCAGTGCACTATATGTAGATTGAGTTGTAATTGCAGGCCACTGCCCCATTTGTAGAGGCCTGCATATTGCCTTAACTTTATTTAGTGGTTGCGTGATATCGTATCTCCTTGGATGTCTAATGTGGATGCAGTGGTCCCATTAGAATTCGCATGACTTGTGTGCATTTCCATTTTTTTGAATGGACAATCACATGGCTATGCTGTGGACCGATTTGCTGCAAATTCAACTGGGATGTAGGTTAGTCGATTTATCTTGTGACAAACCCAACTCAAGAATGCATTGTATTGGGTAATAATTGTGGGAAGGAATTCGTCGTTAGGGTGTCAGGATGTTTAACTCATCCCATGCGGCGCTTTGTGACATCTGATAATTTGAAATCGGTTTAAATAAATTAAAATTAACTCTAAAAAGTCAAAATTATGCACCTGAAATTTTCCATAATTTGACTTTAATTGTCAATTGATATTTGCCGCTGGTCCATAAGAGCATGGTTTTCCGTTAAATTCCTTGCACGTGCATTGAAGAGGACCACTAGCCATGATGAAATTATAGTCAAATATAGTAATAAATGATGTTTTTTGTAGAGAAGAAAGCGTGTAATTTAAGCTTAAGCACGCATGATTTTCGCGTGACAGTGTTGGTGGGTAAATGGATCCATTCTCTGAATGTGTGAAGTCTCATTGTTGGCCAAGAGTTAAACAAGCTTGTTAATCGGAACTGGATGGTGGCATGCTATGTGGCGGTGCAGGCAACCAATTCAATCGGCACAGAGTAGGAGGTAAATGTGACCATAGGCATTTGATCGAATAGCGCTATCATCGTGCTGGGTGAGGTGGCCCAAATACATGAAGGGGGGGCTCTCTAAGACAGACTATCACATCGTTACAATGGCTGATGGCAAGCCAATATTGATAAAAAATTGAAAGTAGCAATTTGTCTCCAGGTGAGAAATTAGGGTAGTTTAAGACACGAACAGATCGTTATAGCATTCATCTCATCTTCCTTTAGAAGTCTGCTGCACT